ATATACATACTTGAAATTTGTAAATATAACTTAATTGCAATATTTCCTTTAAAATATCACAAAAAAATGATAATATTCTGGAAAAAAAATTCAACGTGTTAAATATTTCAACAGAATTCCAATGAAATTTGAACAAATAATCAATGTTAAATGTTTCTAATGGAAATTATATTCCAATCTGAAAAAGAAAAAAAAAATATATGTATTCCTTCAAAAATGTATATAGTTGATTATCTAATTTGCTTAAGATTGATTAATATTCTTCTAATCAACTTTAACACTACGGTCTTGGTACTTGTCAAAGCAAGTTAATAAACATCATCTAGAAAGATCCGTAGTCTAATGTGAAATTGATTCCATCATCATAATTAATCCTAAAAAAAAGTATTTTAAGAGAGCATATTAGCGTTTTCTAAAAGAAAAAATTAATGCGATAAAGAGACGTACATGAAATATTCAAAATTAGCTTTCTTTATATGGTTTTTTTTTCCAACTTTCAAAAGTTGCATAATTATTCCTCTAAACACATTAAAGTGCATGCATTATTAGGATGAGAAAGAAGAAAAAAAAAAGTGAATATCTGTCACATTTTGTTTAATTAAAAGAAAAAAAAAAATTAAAGGAAAGAATACGATTTTGCTATGGAGTCATCAGATGACTCGACTTATGGAGTCATTCACAGTTATTCCCAAATAGTGTATTGACACGTGTCATACAATAAATACAATTTAGACAGGTGTCAATACATTATGTGACGGATGACTCCATAAAAAAACTATCCGATGGACCATCTGATGGCTCCATAGAATTTTTTGGAAAGAATAATGTTCAATATAATATCTGAAAGGGAATATCTGAAGTCTAATTCTACGACTCTAAATTAAATGCACTCAAATCCACGAAGCTTAAAGGTACAAAGATGTTGTTCTTGTTCTTGTTTAAAGAAAGAAAGAATAATCAAAGGGAGGCAAATGGGAATCTTCTTTTGCTACCAGCTTTACTTAAGTGGGCTTGAAGGCACCAAGATTCTCTATTAATTACAATTTGTACCATATGGGCCACCTAGGGTTTTTTCATTAACATTTAATCCCATACACTGATTTTTCTAGTGAGGAGAAATGTATATTTTGAGATCAAATTCAAGCTCTATGTATGGTATAATTGGTGTTGTAATTAAATCGAACGATCAGTACTTGAGAATTTTCAGCTTGTTTCGATTATGTTTGAATTTTGTTCGTGTTAACTCGTGTAGTATTCGCGCGAAAGTTTGTGTTTGAACCTGTTCGTTTTTATTTGTTCACCAACGTTTGTGTTCGAATAATTCAGTGACCTTTTAGCCTTTTGAAATTGTTTGACTAACCCGAGATCAGTTCAGCAAAAAGTGTTCGAAATCGAAAATATAAATTTCTTTAGATTACAAATATATATATTTTAAATTAATGCTCGCGAACATTATCGAACGTCTACGAACAAGCTCGTTTCCTTCGATTAACAAAGGAAAAAAAAAAAATCAAAGAAAGAGGAATCAAATTCTTTTGAGAAGGGAAAAGAAAAGGGAGGAAGAATGCAATAACATGAAAATGGTTGGTCACTTTCTATAGTACTAACTTCATCTACAATACTCCAATTCACCCCTTTTCCATAGATTCTCTCTCTAAATTCTCTCTCTATTTTTATTTTCTTTAAACTTTTTCTTTATATCTGTCTCTCTAAGTGTGTGTTTGCTGGCTGAGATTCTCTCTTCTTGACACGTGTATCGAAATATATTCTTTCCTATGGAAGGATGTGTGAATATACCTTTTGTTCCCTGCCTATTTGAAATGAGAGCCACTAAGGTGAGCTGTAGTATATTGTGATTGTCATGTCTATTTAGAAAAATTATCAACATTATTACCGATTATCAGTAATGCTTTCATATCCACGGTAGGCACATGTTAATATGCCTACCGTTTATGTGGCATGCACACATTGGTGATGCCACATAAGCAGCGGGCACACGTTAATATGCTTGCTGAACGTGTGCATATCACATAAACGGTTGGTATATTAACATGTGCCCACCGTGTGTAGATGAACATTGCCGTACCTATTATATAAACAGTTGGACTAACGATCTAAGGTATAATTGGGCCCATGATTGTAATTTGCAAATTTCATCTCGGCCCATCATTCCAACTTCAAACTTCATTTGGGCCTGCCTCTTTGATCTGTCGTTTTACCCTTTTTTTTGGGCCATATAATGCTTGGACTCTTCTTGTTTACAGACCTTGAAATATGGAGATAATTATGCCTCACATGATCTATATTACATTTATTTGCACTTTTACGAGTCAATTAAAAATATTAACAAATGTGCCAAATCTTATATTTTTAATTGCAACATATTTCCTGTTTTATTTTCTTTTTCTTTTTTTTTTCTTTTTCCCTTTTTTCTTTTCCTTCTATCCTCTTACTTCCCGTCATTTTTTTCTTCTTTACCGATCCCCAATTTTCTCTCAGCCCTCAATTTCAGAAATTCCTTTTCAATTGTCTTCTCTCTGAGTTTTCAAGCCTCCAGACCCACGATTTACGGCGGTTGGAGAGGGCTGACAGACGTCCAATTGAGGGTGTTCCCGTTGGCTATAGTAGTTTCAGTCCGAGCTTTGCGGTGGCAATCGTGCGACACAGTCTCGGGTTGATGCTGCTGCGTGTAGTGGATTTGGTTTCTCGCGCGATCGGTGGCTAACATGTGCGTAAAGGTTGGAATGGACGGCGCAGAAAATTGGAGTTATATGTTCGTTATACATATGTTATGTATATGTTCGGTATATGTTCGGTATACATATATAAACTCAGAAAATTGGAGTTATTTTCAGTATATGTTATGTATATGTTCGGTATATGTTCGATATACATACATAAATCCAAAAAATAGTATATGTCCGAGATACATATGTTCGGCTGGATCTGGTGTTATTTTTCAGTATATGTTTTGTATACGTTTGGTATATATTCGACATACATATATGAACCCCAAAAATATATATGAATATACAAACATCAAATAGGAAAAAACCCCAAAAATATACTATATATATACATAAACTAGTTTCAAAACGTAGATGATACCTGATTTTTCGGATATATTACTAGATAAAATCAGCAAGATCAGTTTATTAGGATATATACACTTACCATTTAAATTTACAAATTCCTGTGCAAAAATAACGGCAGACTAACAATTGCGATATTTAAGGACAATGATATCTCAATTAATTTCCATTTGATATGAAGACATTCCTATTTAGTAGGATATTTAACAATTGCATAACGATATTATTTCTTCTTATAAATAAATGCATTGTAGATGGCACACGTGCAAATAAAATCAACACATTTGTACTAATGCAATAACTTTAAAATCATGTGGTAATCATATAAAATGGCCTTGAAATATGTGGGTAACTGAGGAGAGCCCATTTCGAGTTTAAACTATTAAAGAAAGGATTTTGAATAATGTTGGGTCATATTGGCTCATCTCTAGTTTCTTTCAGTTAAGTGGTTCTTCTCATTGTTTTCTTTCAGTTGCAAATAATGCTATCTCAAGGAATTTGTGTTCACCAATTTTCCATTTATACTGATTAGTCATTACATTTTTAGGTCATATCCATTAACAGACTCAAATTTCATCTCAATTTTTCATTAGAACAACTTTTTCCACCTTTTCATCTCACTTTTAAGATTTTTCGAAAAAAATCTTATATCCAATCGCATAATACAAGCTGCAAAATGCTTGAGACGTCTCAGTTTGGACCCGAATCCACCTGTCTGAAAAGCCCGGGTTGGACCCGAACCCACCATTCCAGAGAAAGACACCGAAAAGGAAAGAACAAACTCAGGCGAAAAGACATGTTTTCCCCATGTCCAAGTTGCAAGAGAAAAAGAGACACTCAAAGGGAAGGAACAAACTCAGGCGAAAGAATGTTTAAAAAAATATATATACATATCCGGTCAGTCAAATCCGGAAAATTTCTATATCCAATAGCTCCCTAAAGGTCCCGTCACATAAACGAACGGAAAAGAAAAAAAAAAAATGTATAATAAGAGTATAGTAGAACATGACATATGAGTTTTATGTGGGCTTCTCAAATTTCAACTTCCATTCAAGAGCAGCATGAGGAAAAGTATAATATCAATTTTCTGAACTAAGTAGACTGCACATCCTTTTATTTTTTGGTAGAACACAAGAAAAATGACGAGTCTTGGGAAAAAAAGAAATCACACAATTCAATTAGGATCGAGATTTCTCTTTGGCACTTTCGATGTGTTTCAGGCTTTCAGCAGATCAAGAAAACTTAAGTTTGTTTCAAAATTCAATTAGGATTCTACAATATAGTACATTGCATT